AAGAATAATATTAAAACAGATATAAGAAAATAGGGTAGGAGAATGTGAACTGGATAGTTTCCTGTGACAGATTTTGGGAACAGGGCAATGAACTTTGGTGCTTCATAAGAGACCGGCGACTTTTGACAAGTTGAGTGGCAATCAGCTTCTCAAGAAGGGGACTACTCTATCTAATTAGTTTTTTTTTCTGTGGCGCTACAGCCCCAATTTGGGCCTAGGCCTACCTCCATGAAACTCTCCGTTTCACTTCGGTTTACTAGATCTTAAACATTCGGTAGGACTCCTTGGGCGAGTGATCAGCTCGTCGCAAGGCCTCTACCTGTACACAAACACAGAAAAACGCACACAAACATCCATGCCCTGAGTGGGATTCGAACCCACGATCCCGGCTTCCGAGCGAGCGAAGACAGTGCATGCCTTAGACCGCTCGGCTACCGTGACCGGCTTCTAATTAGTTACTTGGTTTAATTGCGTGCATTCATATAGAAGTGAAGTAATTGTCGAGTGGAGAATAGACGGACTTTTCAATTTATGCTTTTCTTCAGGTGGCTGACATACATTCCTGCCAACTTGTCACAATTTTTTCTATTTCACATATAACAGCATCTCACTCACTCATGGTGCTGAGCCCTCCTCGAGAAGCTGCCAATTGTGCAGCTACTCAAGAACTTCCCAGCATTTTATGGAACCCGAAGGTTTATTACTGTGTTCACAAGAGCCCTCCACTGCTCCAATTCCTGAGCCAGATCAATCCAATACATACCATTACATACAATATCTCTCTAACATCCATTTTAATATTGTCACCCACCTACCTCTTGGTCTTCCCAGTGGTCTCCTTCCTTCCAGTTTTCCCACCAATATCCTATATTCATTCTTCCTGTCCCCAATTCGCGCTACTTACCCTGCCCATCTCATCCTCCTTGACTTGATGATTCTAATTATACTTGGAGCAGAGTACGAGTTATGAAGCTCTTCATTATGTTCTCAAACACCCTCAGTCTATGTTCCTCCCTTATTGTCAGAGACAAAGTTTCACACCCACACAGAACCACAGGCAAAGTTGTAGTTTTGTATATTCTAATTTTTATGTTTTTGGACAACAGACGAGAAGAGAAAAGGTTCTGGACTGAATGGTAGGAAGCATTACCCAAGTTCAATCGCCTCTTAATTTCCTCCTGAATCAGGTTTCGATCTGTTATCGTTGTGTCCAAATATCTGAACTGTGCCACATTTTCAAAACATCTGTTTCCTGTCTTTATGTCATGATTTTGCCCTGCATTTTGGTGACGAGATAGCAACATATACATATACACATACACATACTTCTAGGCCAAACTACTTACTAGTGGCAATGAACTTTTTTTGTGCTTTTCCTTTATGGTATCTATATTATCACCCAGTAGATTCACATCATCGGCATAGACCAGCAGCTGATGTGTCCCGTTTAATTTCAGTCCCACCTGGTTTCCCTGGACCTTCCTAATGGCATACGAACTATTCTAAAGCAGAATTGAGAAGGAGTGGCGACAAAGCATCTCCTTGTCTTAGACCGTTCTTGGATAGGGAAATTATCAGACAAATGTTTATTTATACGGGCTTTACTATACGTTTCGTTTAAACACATTTTAATCAGCCTATCTAGTTTCATGGGTATCCCAAATTCTGTCAGAATATTGTACAATACTTCCCTTCTAACTAAATCATAGGCTTTCTTGAAGTCTATAAATAGCTGATGTGCTGTCTCATTGTACTCCCATTTTTCTCCAATATCTGACGAATGCAAAAGATCTGATCATTAGTTGACCTGTTACGTAGAAACCCACATTGATGATCCCCAGTAGTTTCATCTATATATCGACTTAACCTTGAGAGAAGGATATTGGATAAAATTTTGTATGAAGTTGATAGCAGTGACATCCCCCGATAATTACTGCAGTAAGTTTTATCACCCTTCTTGTGAACTGGTACAATAATAGATTCCTTCCACTGATCAGGCAATATTTCCTTATACCAAATAGAATTAATTAGCTAGTGAATATTTCACCTCCTGCCTGAGTAAGTTCTGCCGGAATCTGGTCAGAATCTGGCGACTTATATCCTATCAGTTTTGCAGTAGCAATTTCAACGTCAAAAGGGCTATGATCAGGCACTAAGGGCTCAGCTGTATGTATTTCTATCTGTCTAATATCACTGACCTTATGTACATTCAATAACTGAGAGAAGCAGTTCTTCCACCTATTCAAAATATTGTGCGAATCTGCAAGCAGATCACCATTCTCGACCTTCACTAAGTTACTTCTATGTTGGTAACCCCTCTTAAAGTAATTTTTTCCCCTATACAGGTCTCTGACTTACTCTTGCTGTTCGGTGCAAGCTCATCAATTTTGTCCTTCAGATATTTCCTCTTTTTATTCCTAAAATGCCTGCTGCTTTCACGTTTTATATTGTTCAGCTTAACCTCATTTATTTCGCTTGGATCTTGTAACCATTGCAATTTGTCTTGTTTTCTTTGGTCTAGTAATTTTGAGCATCCTTCGTCGAACTTAGACTCTCTTTGACAGAAATTTTGATATTCTCTCTAATAGTTTCACAAGCTTTATTAACATCAACCCCAGTGTCTAAGTTTACCAAAGATTTCAACACGATACTGCTCCTTACCCTCTACCGCGTTTAATTTCTTGACATTAAACCTCTCAATATGAACTCTCTGCGTTGTTTGTTTACTCACAGCCAGTTTTTCCCTAACATTTGCCACCACCAGGCAGTGGTCAGTATGACAATCTGCTACCCTGAATAATCGTACATCAAGTATACTTAAATTCCGTCTCCTATCTCTCAAAATATAGTCAATTTGATTGTGTGTCTTTCCTTCAGGAGATGTCCAAGTACATTTATTAATGTTACGATGTGGGAACATCGTACTTTCGACAATAAGATTTTTTGATATGCCAAAGTTTACTACTTTAACTCCATTAACATTACTAATTTCTGCAAAGTCTCATTCCCAATCGTTGGTTTTAAACTATCTTCCGTACCTACTTTGGCATTGAAATCTCCTAACAGAATTTACATATAATACTTCGGGAATGTATCAAATACATATTCTAGTTCTTCGTAGAACCTGTCCTTTATATCATCAATTTTTTTCTTCTGTTGGGGCACGAACATTCAAAACGGTGATATCACACCAGCGGCCTGTTATGTATGACATCCTATCACTAATGAACTCTACCCTCCTAACTGCTGATATGATTCTCTTATGTAATCTCACAAGTGACAATACAGCAGTAACTGTAGATGCTGTCCACTTAACAACATTTACAGTTAACTATTGTATTGTCACTTGTATGAGTGACTATCGACGGGATTTTGAATTGGAAATTGGATTTATTGACCACTTGAACACACGGCCCGTGACTACATTTAATTATGCCGCCGTCACTAATTTCTGCACTTTAAAAATTACTGCTGCACACGCTAAGTATTTTCAGTCTGCTGTGTCTTCACCAGTCGTTCCCTGGTAACGGCTTCTAACAGTGGGGATTCTTCAACTTCACCGACCAAGAGTTTTCTTCACAGTCTCCCCTACAACACACTCTGAGCCTTCCTTATATCTCTGACGAACTTCAAACCCGTCTTGTTTATAATATTTCGGCACGGACCGCAGGTCCCAGAATCAAATCTCTTTCCGGAAGCAGGGAATCCTGACTTATAGTACAAATACTGCCGTCATCGCAACAATTTTATTAATTTGAGTTACACTACATGTTTCGACCCTTAAAGGGTAATTTTCAACTGTTTCCAGTTACATATTATTACTTGCTGAATTGCAACGCGAGATCCCTATATTCCTAATTACATACCCAGGTCATAAATTGGCTACACTCATGTATACTTATAAACTATTTAGTGGATATTGACTAAAATGAGTCTAAATATTAAAATTAACAGTTTCCCCTAATTACGTTAAAATTTATTTAAATTAGGTTTAAAACTATCGTGAGCTACAATCGTCTTCGTGTCTTAAGCTGCAGCAGACAAAGCTTAGCCTTCTCGAATTCTTCCATTATTTGTTGTGACACCTCAATATGCTGTTATTACCATGCTCAATCATCTTGAGAACCAAATAATCTTGTTTTCTTCTTTCTTAATGACTGCATCCCTGATTGATGTTTTGTTCTTATATTGTATAGTTGTCATGACCTTTGTATATAAGTAGGAATATAGTGATCTCACTTTGCAGTTCAGTAATTAATGACATGTAACTGGGAACACCTGAAGATGGCCTTTTAAGGGTTGAAACATGTAGTGTAACTCAAATTAATAAAATTGTTACGTTCACAGCTGCATTTTTATTATTAGTTGTATTCACGCAAACGGAAGCAAACAATAAAATTAATCCTGATTGACGTTTCATTGTGGTTTTTCAACAGTTTTTTCACGTAAATGACGAGAATTACGTTAATTAGGCCATGATCACGTTATTCCACATCCTGTTCAATTCATTACTGACTAATGATCCTATTTTTGATGCTACATAATCTGGGTTATTAGAGCGTTGTTAAATAAATCATAAAGTGATAACATAAATCTTCTGTATACATTTCAGAATCTCTCAGTAATACAATTCTAGTTGTGTATTTCATCCATCCATCCATCCATGGCTCTACAAGCCTTTGTTGGATAGAGCCATTTTTAAGGTTCTTAGTCTTATACACGGTCATTATGACCCCTTGGCCGTGTATCAGCCCGTTGCAAGGCCGATACACAGAACAAACGCACACACAGACATCCATGCTTCGAGTAGGATTCGATCCCACGATCCCAGCGTTCGAGGAAGGGAAGACAGTTCATGCCATAGACGGCGCGGCCACTCTGATCGGCTGCAGTTCTGTATTCTACATTTTGGATTGCATTGCATTTACAAAAATTCAACGATATTCTTAATTCTAGACACGCACTTGCATGTAATTATGCTGTTATTTTCTTTTCTGCAGGGTTGGTGTTGAACGAGTTCATCAGACATTTCGAACCTGCAGTGTACGACCGTGACGCTCTTATGGCGCAACACAAGCGTCTCCGTCGTGACGTCACGTCCGCCTCACAGCCCCTCAGCCTCCATATCAAAACCAACAGCAGGTATGTGCTTTCTTTACTGTTTTGAAATAGTTCAGATATGTTTTGTCAATCGTTGATTTTGCAATACTTTTAATTTCAGCAGGAATATAATTTTGTAGTAGGCTCAGTTTCGACACATTTTCGAAGTACGTATAGTCGGTGGTACATGGCGTGTGGATAAAATGATGGAAGATAACGACTGAGTATAGAATTTTCGTGAGGAAATCTATTTGGAAACGGTAGTTGGTTGAGGCACTATGCTAGAAGCCGGAAGATCGCGGGTTCGAATCCTCATGAGGTCATTGGATTTTTCAATTGACCTACTCCTTGCAGCCAGCCTTGGGGTCGACTCAGACTTTAACAGAAATGTATACCAGGAATCTTTCTAGGGTTAAGGGGCTGCCGGCGCGTAAGGTTAACAACCTCACCGCCATCTGTTAGCCGATTGTCTAGAGAAAATGTGGGAGCCTCGACGTCTCACAACCCTATGGGCCTCCATGGCCTGTTACAGGATAGCTATACCTATTACTTTTTTTGAAGACCGGAAAGTGATTAGAGAATGTCATTAAGATTACTTTTATGGAGATGGGTTTGAGGATCAGAGGCGGATGTCTGCCTACGTGTCCTGTAATTTGGCGCGCTCTGAAATAAGGAGTCCTGAACCTTAAATGAAGTTATTATACACTTAATATACTCTTGTATTCAACATGTACTCATATTTGGTTTAGGCAAATTCTAAACTTCCTAATGATTGTCGTGCGCTTTCCTGAAGACATCTGGAGAGCAGAAAGTAAAATTAAAGTCAGTGTAGCATCCGTCTTGTTCTTTATCGCTTATTTATTGTATTAGTTTCACTGATAGTGCAGTCGGCATAGCGACTGGCTACGGGCTGGACGACAAATGGGTCGGAGTTCGAGTCCCGGTGAAATTGAGAATTTTGTCTTCTCCACATCATCCAGACCGGCTCTGGGGCCTACCCATCCTTATATCCAGTGGGTTTCGGGTGCTCTTTCCCTGGGGCGTGAAGTTGACCACTCACATCCAACCAGTGCAAAGTTGCAGAAAATGTGGAACTATACATCCACTCCCCCCATATGTGTTCATGACGTAGGGACAACTTTACCTTTATTATTCTTGCCATTGGCTGCATTATGTCGTGAGTCATAACGAGTTTTTCTCTCTCTCTCTTTTTCCAGCGCTGTAGTCTGCAGAGTTGTTAAAGAGATGGTGGTTTGAGTGTGAATGTTTGGTCTGACACTTCGGTAGTCACTATGTTAATCTCCATAATTAATGTCGACAGTTGTTTGTGCAGTCCGCTGTTAATTTAACAATGAATTATCACTGTGTGAGTCGTATGACATGTGGTTCATTACACGGCCTGTGAATGTTCCTGCTAAGGTAAAAAGAAAGGTAAATTTATCGCTGTGACAGACCGTGAAGGCCCATAGGATTGCGAGACTTCGAGGCTCCCACATTTCCTGTACAATCGGCTCAGATATGGCAGTGAGGTTGTCAGCCTTACGCGCCGGTCACCCTTTACCCCCAGGAAGATTTCTGGTACTCATTTCTGTTAGAGGCTTATTCGATCTCCAGGACCGTGGTGCAACTGCAAGGATTACGACAAATGACAAATCCATTGTCCTCATCGCAAATCGAACCCGTGATCTTCCGGCTTGTAATATAGTGCCTGAACCAACTACGCTACAGCCTGCCCCGTAATGTTCCTGGTATATCTCCATTTCAATAATGCGAATGCTTTTGAAATCTCCATCCGGCATCCCTTTGTATCATGAAGTGGTTCATCTACATACAAACCATAAATATTTAATGCGCTGTAGGAAGAGGTATGATGAATTTTTTCCTAAAGGGAATCGCATTTTACTTGACTGGACCTTGAAAAATCCTCTAGCGTAACTTTTATGAATTTAGTCGCCATCAGCTCGAGTTCCGTAGTTTGAAATCAAGTCACGTGCTTTTTAGTCCTCCCCCCTTTCACTCACTCACTATACTGCCCAGTTTCAGTCCCATAACAGTGCCTATTCCCGTTCTTTCACCTGCTTTGTGTTGGACCCTGAACAGACGTGAACACTGCATAATTTGATTGCACACGTTATATATTTTGTGACAGTGCCTCTGTGGTCTAGTGGTCAGAGCTCATATCTGCACATCCAGACGCCCTGGGTTCGATTCCCGGAACTACCAGATTTTCTAAGAAATGGTGGGTCTGGAACGGGGTCCACTAAGCCTCGTGAGGATAATTGAGGAGCTATTTCAAGGAAATAGCGGCTCCGGTCTACAAAACCGAAATTAATGGCCGTGGAGATTCGTTGCGCTGACCACGCGACATCCTCTATCCGCTAAAGTTGGCACTAACTTCGCCGACAAGCGGCGGTTGTTCGGTCGGTATAGTTCGCTTACGGACTAAAACCACGGATTTTGTTTTCTTGTTTTAATAATATTAAAACAACGTATCTTTATGTAGAACTGTGTAAGCGTTTTCCCACCATTAATACCAAAATTATAGTCTCTCAAATTATGGAGTAAAAGCCTTGATATTGCTGGAACACCTGTACCAGTCTTCATGAAACTTGGTGCATACATACACACACACACACCACATGAAGCCATCTCAGGGCGTACTTCACAAGTTTTTCCCATTAGTTGTCTCGACATTGCAGCCTCTCAAATTTATGCCGGGACAACCTTAATATTACTTAAATATATAAAAACAATCTTCATGATGCTTGATAGGTACATCCTACCGTCTGAGGCAATCTCAACAGTATACTTCATAGATCACTCTCGTCAGTAGAACCAGCACTGAAGCCACTCAAATTGCGTTGGTTTTCTTACTTTATTACGCATATACACTCAAGTTGTTTTTTACTTGTGTTAAATACTCAGTTTATAGTGAAATGAAAGCAGGAGATTACTTCTTCCACTAACTTCTCGTTTTCTTTTAGTAAAGCTCTACTTCGCCCTTTTTCACAAACAACGCATCTCCTTCAGTATAACATGGGAGGCTCGGGATCAGTGTGTATGTCTGCCAATACAGAGCACAGTTACATTCATGAACTTTGTACATTTTGCCACTCCTAATAGAAAACATTGAATTTCAGATGTCTTCAAGTTATTCATGCCCCTCCCTTTTCTTCTTCGTGCTTGAAATCATCAATGGATATTCCTGTGCTTCCTTTCGAATTTTAAACACAGCCATACATGAGATATCCGTTGCTGTAGCGGTTTCACTTGAAACCTACCTCATGCTGTATTCAGGAATTTTTGTTTATATGTACAGAAACGAGCTTAACATAGTTTTACGCTCCTTGCTTTCTGATGACTAGCTACGTTTTCTGTTCGTACCTGAAGCTTCAGCCATTGTGTTAACATATCCCACAATATGTATAACAAAATGTGCACGTTATGAAATAAATTCGAAACATGTAGGATGAATACTGAAATAAAATTAAAACCCAGAACATTCAAATCGCTGTTCCTTTATATCTTTTGTAGCACCCTGTGCTCTACTGAACCTTTGCGCTGAAGTAGCGCTGGCAGAGCTGCGGGGCTCTAATGTTTAGCGAGCTGGTCTTAAGTAATTAAAAAAGAAAAAATGGATATGAAATTGTGTGTGTATTTGGGGGGGGGAGTGATGCTGTATATGTCAAAATATAGCCTAAGAAAGATAAATCCTATAAGCACAATAGACCACTGTAGACCGCGGTGCAAGGGCCAAGAAGGCCCACCTCTTATGCTCGTACATTCATACATTCAAGATGAATCCTGCCAATCCACAGTATAACAAAAAATAATATTTGCTGTAATAGTGTAAGGAAGAAAAATATGAATAGTTATGTGTCATGGATGGCTGTAACATGACGCCCTATACTTTGGTAGCTAGGTTTCAACGTTTTGGAACCTGCTGCTTCCAAATAGACTTGAAAGGATTCTAACGATGGTGTATGCTGTACAGAACTATTAGGCTTATTTTGGACTCTATCCATCGTCTGGTATATAGAAGAGAAAAAATCACAACGTTTCGGAGACTGGATCTGTCTCCGTCCACAGGTGGATGGGGCAGGATAAACCTACTCGGTTGGGCCCGTTAGAAAGAGCTAGTCTCAATCACTGGACGATTGTCCAGTGATTGAGACTAGGTTTATCCTGCTATATCCATCTGAGGACCGAGACAGATCCAGTCTGCGAAACGTGGTTTTTTGTCTTCTATATACCAGAAAATTGGAAGCACAATAAATCATTGAAGGTCGCGGTGCAAGGGCCGAAAAGGCCCACCCCTTATACATTCATTCATTCATTCATTCATATAGCAGAGGATTACATTTTTTAATTTGTTTAGTCCAACTGGGTCCACTCGACACGGCGGCCACTGATTGGCTTATTATAGCCTGCCTCGGGTGATCATGATGTTGGAGAATTTGGTGGAATGAAGATTGGCAGGGGAAACCGAAGTACTCTGAGAAAACCTACCCCAGCGTCACTTTGTCCACCACAAATTCCACTTGACCAGACCCGGGATCGAACCCGGGCCGCCGCGGATGGATGCCAGCGACTAACCGCTTGAACTATGGCGCGGCCTTATACCAGACGATGGATGGAGTCCAAAATAAGCCTAATAGTTCTATACTGCTGCTTCCAGGTTGATATAATACGAACACTGAATATGTTTGTTCAAAATATTAGTACCTGAGAAGAAAGCAGTCTTCTGGGATGTGGCGCCGTGTATATATTGTGTTAACCGACGTTTCGGAGAAACATATTGCCTCCATCTTCAGGGTAGAAAAAAAAGAAAATCCGCAAGCGAAGAACCAGCGTGAGCAAGTGCAAATAGACTACCTGTTTATCAAGATAGATATCATCACATCCAGAAAAGGATAGTCTTTAAAATATTGTACGTTTTTTCTCTAGATGGGGTAGCAATAGTGGAGTAGTGCAGTCCAGTAGAACAACATGTAGTCATTCAAGTAGCTGGGTGCTCGGGAGATCCCAAATGGGCGAGCAAG